ACCACTTTTGTACCATCTTAATTTGTAACAATATACTCTTACCTTGACAAACTTCGACCCACCATACCACTTTTGTACCATCTTAATTTGTAACAATATACTCTTACCTTGACAAACTTCGACCCACCATACCACTTTTGTACCATCTTAATTTGTAACAATATCCTCTTACCTTGACAAACTTCGACCCACCATACCACTTTTGTACCATCTTAATTTGTAACAATATACTCTTACCTTGACAAACTTCGACCCACCAGTATGTATTTCTTCCACTAAATCAGCAGACCCTAGAGCTTCAGGTACAAAATGATCAAGGCTAGCAATTGGTTTACAAACCAGACTCTGAAAACATTTTTAAAGAAATCATGATGAATAAACATCACTGTTCAAGAAGACAAAATGACTCATAAATGTTTCAAATTTGTTACTCTCATATCAGATTTAAACTTATAAATATTTAAGAAAACAAACTGCAGCACCACCAGTTTACCATCTTTTAATTACTATTGAAATAAAGCTAAATATTTAAACACACACACACACACATATATATATATATAAACATGTCAGAAAACAGCAGGTCATCTAAGCTTATAACCACAAAACTACAACATAAAACTGATCACTTCTATCATTATTTCCCCAAAAGAGGGCCAAAGGCTGCCTGGAGGGGGTCACCTATTTTAACTACTCGCACCACTATACAGTAGTATGTTGTCTATCAGTCAGTCAGTAGACACTAAAATTATGTCACATAAGGGGGATGCTTAACGTTGCAGCTTGTACTGCCATGAATCAGGAGAAGAATTATGCACTCTGTAGGTTACAACACAGCATTACATAAGAACTTCAAAAGCAGGAAATAAAAATATTTGTTACTCTTAATTTTGATTTTATTTACTCTTGAAACAGAATACATTCAGGGACTCTGTGGAAGTACATCTAGTGTATATTCCTTTATACTAAAATACTTCAATAAGCTTTAATTAAGTGTAACACATTATGAAGTAAAACAGTGCATAATAGTTATTTGTTTTTATTTCCACAGAAAGAAAGTTTCATTATTCTGCATACTTTAACTAAATAAAGGTAGAAAGCTGCCACATCTACAAATACACCTTAGTCCCTAATGATATTACAATAAGACTTGCCTTTCAGTGTAAAAATATATTATTTTTATGACTTGTTTTTAACTTAGAATAATAATTTAAGTCTTACCTTTCAAATATTAACATACAGCATCTTAAAATATATAATCTAATTCAAAACTAGAAAGTTCAGTTCAAACGTATTTTAAGACTTTCCTAAAAGGTTCAGACTTACTTTTCAGTATAAACACACATCATGTGGTTAGCCGCTACAAACTTTCATCACTAGCATTTTAAACATACTTTAAAACTCACAAACTAAAAACCATTTTCACTGAACATTTTACTTGTAGCTCCCAGACTCCTATTACGTAATGTATAATTTTAATTTGTGATATATTTAATCCCCAAGAGCAAAGAAATTTGTAAGTATGGAAAATGACAAAAATTATAATTAAATTTTTTTTTCTCCAATCTGAGATAATTTTGTCTCAACCTTTTACTTAAGATCACGATGGTGTATTCTACAACCCACAAATGATGTGAAGAATAATAAGGTGATTGAAAAAATAATCAAGAAAACTGAAATACAAATTTCAGTTATTCAAAAGTATATTTTTTCCATAAACTAAGCTGCTCAGTTTGCTTGCAGTAATCAGTGAAGATCATAAGGTGTCCTAAGTTTTATCATCATTGCAGCTTTCAGTTAATGGTGTCCAGTACAGTTGCTTTTAATTTAGTTTTACAAAAAAGTTTATCTTACAGATAAAAGAAAATTATCCTAAACAATCTGAAAAACTATAACAATAAAATGCACACAGGTGACAAAAAGAGAAAACAAATATCACATATACCTTGCAGACAAATTCAATATCTTCTCTTTCAATGTCTTTTACAACCAAAATCTTCATTTTGGCCAAGAAATGAAGTGCAAGATCACTCAAAGCATCCCTACAAAAAAAATCATACGAAACAAATATTAAGCTTCCAAGAAGCAAGTGTTACTCTATCATCAAAGAACTTTACTTAATGTACAAGTTAATATTCAGTTGACAAGATGAGGTTTTTTTTCTTAAACTTGACTGTGAAATGAATGGTCCTGAAGTGAAAGATTTAACTTGACCAACAGGACCTCATGCTTATAAAATCTTCGTGATACCATCCTGTAAGTGCACATTACATAAAACAATCCCCACTAATGTCTCATACCTACATCCTGTAAGTGCACATTACATAAAACAATCCCCACTAATGTCTCGTACCTACATCCTGTAAGCACACATTACATATAACAATCCCCACTAATGTCTCATACCTAATATGGGTTAAGTCGCCCAATAAAAACTTGTTAAATGAAGTATTCCATTTATGCATTTGTTTAACAAACTATACAATGAATATGATGCACAAATTCTAGGCTGTTCAGTTGGCTTCCAGTAATCACTGAGGATCATAAGGTGTCCTAAGTTTTATCATCATCACAGCCTTTAACATTAGATGCATCAATCTGTTTGAGAATCCAAAATAAGTTGTTTTTTAATGATTTTTTATTATGTACTTAAGAACACAAATTCTTTGTTTTGATAAACAAAAATTTAGTAAATTCATGAGGTTTCTGTACTGTCAACAAGCAAGCAGTAACACTTCTTTTTTGTCTATGATGCAAGCAGTGACACTTCTGTTGCCCTAGAGCAAGATGCAATGGTTCCATCTGTTCTATAAGGGAAGCTGCCATATTTTTATATACCCATTCCCAAACAACTCTCTACAACAACTGGAAAATACAAAATAATAATAGAGACTGACTATAGAACCTTTAGTATGAATAACTCTCTAGGCACAGAATTGTTTGAATCTCTAGAAACTTCAATGTTTGAACTCCAGAACTTTATTTTTCTATGTAGCTGGCTGAAACCTTGTGCTGCAATGTCCAAGAAATTTTAGGCTTATGGCTTTGAACTATTTTAGTTATGGTATTTATGTTGAACAATATAAATATATACAAAAGAAATTATATAAATATAGTGTACAATGACAGGAATTTGGTTACTTTCTTTAATGAAATAAAGTAAAAAAAGGAAAACATTTTATGCAAACGGCTTTGAAAATATTTACTAGTTAATTTATTACTCTATATATTTTTCAAGTTAAAAACTAGCTATAAACAATGATTGTTATATAGTAATCTGTGGCCTAAATTAATTGAAAAAGTTGGTACAAATTTAGCTATAATTTACTACAATGACAGTTTTGAAAGACTGATTTCCAACAAGGCATTATTTTTTTTAACAAGAAAATACATTTCAGACTATAATATACATACACTGATCACCTGATGTAGAAAAAAATGTTGAAGTACAGAAATTTCAGCTAAATTCATCTGGATATAACTAATTTTGTTAAACTACCAACAGTTTTCAGAAGTAAGAAGTAAACACAATACACATGCTTACTCATTATCATCAGTGTACTTTCAATCCAAAAATATATTGTCTTTACATAAAAGCTCAAGTGTTTTTTTTTTTGTTTTAATTCACAAAGGGCACAATGTAAAAATTTCTATGCTCCATAATAAACACATTAAAATCAATTTTCAGTAACATGTAGAGACACGCATTTCACAATATGTAAAATTACCTTTTGTCAAAGTTGAACATTACCTCACAACTCTGGTATTGCAGCCAAAAGTAAATCATTCTTCATATTGAAGAAACACCATTATGAGTCTGTGATATCTCATATACAAATTTAAAGTATGTAATTCACGAACAATAAACATTCATAAGACTACCAGTTGTATCTCATTTCAATGACCTTCCTCATGTTGTTGTCAGTATAAAGTGAATGAAACTAAACACGAAAATAACTATTATTGCTTAAGATATCTAACCTGTAATTATTTGTTCTATAGTGCATTTTAAAGTGATATACTCGACAAAATTCTAAAATTGAAGATCTTGCTTTATATTGCAAGTATTCTTATTGACCTATAGTATCTTAACCTTTAACAACAAACCCTGTAAACGATGTATAAGAATACTTTTCACATGAAGTAAAGTTTTTACCTTAAAATTGATTTTTGAATCAACAAGACATTACATCCTGCCTTTTTAATTTGCTTGACAATGTTTAGAATGTAAGCCCGCTCCTCCCTCAACACCCGATCCATCTGTGTGTAATCTGACACAATCACCTGGTTGTCCATCTAACAAGAGAAATCAGACATTATCCTTTCTTTGAATTTCCAAAAACAGTAAACTTATATCAACAAATGTTATAGACAGATTTTATTAATTATAACATTAAAATTACTCATCTGTTTTTCTAAAACAACAGAAGTACCAATGTATATTATGTGTACTTATAAAATAGCAATAAAACTACCCACTTATAACTGGCCTTTGAAATAAAATTAACAATATTTTTAAAGTTACAAAACTACATAGTTACATCAGTTTTTGGTGGAGAGATACAAAACTGGATTAATCCAATTTTCGCTTTCTCTATTTTGTTAGGACCACCAGCACCAGAGGTCTTCTGAGCAAACACCAGTCCTTCTATCAACTCTGTATCATCCACTGTCCCTCTACAAACAAAAATGCATCTTTACATATCTATAAATTTAAATGCCGAAAAACTACTGACATACAGAATTGAGAGAAAACAAAATATATACATTCTTATTCTTTCCATACATTTAACTAAATCAGATCAAACAGAACTTAACAAATATCCACACTCATCCATCTTACATATGGTTTCAACAACGAAAGAGATGTTACAAAAGCTTATATACAAACATTACATTCTGTTATAACTCAAAAGCTGCTCAGTTTGCTTGCAGTAATCATCCAGATCATAAGGTGTCCTAAGTTTTATCATCATAGCAGCTTTCAGAGACAAAAAAAATAATAATCCCTATATGAATTATAATGACATTTTGACATGAGAAGAATAATATTTTTTACTAGCTCTCCAAACTTCAATGTTAATATTTATTTCAAGACAATTATCTATTCTACTTCTACATGATATTTTTTACAGGACCTACTTCAAAAATTTCCTAATGATGAAAAGAGACATTTAACTTCAATACAGTTAAATCTATTTTTTTAATTGTTGTATAAAATTAAAATTGTTTGGAATTATCTATTAGATATATATATATATATATATCACAAGATATCAAAGTACAAAACACAGCTTTAAACTGAAAATGTATTACAGACTGAAAATCTTATGGTTTAACAACATTCTCTGGACTCACCCCAACTTCTTGATGATCTTAATATCTCGTAGATCAACATTGGTATCTTTTGTTGGATCAATAACCTTCATGACAGCATTGACAGCTAGTGGAGCCAGCTGACTGGAATGTTGAGATACTACCTATAAGTAACAAAGCAGATGAAATATTATAATTAAGCAATTGAAATACAGTACTATAATGTACATTCTCTAAAGACTGCTAGATATCAACTACTGTGTATTAAAAATTCTGGTGTTTTTCTATAGAATCATCATTATGTCTCACATGAAAATGCATCTGTGACTTTCAATCTTTCCACTTAGAGCGTGGATTAGTGTTGTTAAAAGAAGAGGCATTAGAAAAGTTGATATTGTTACTGTATCTTCTAAAACACTGGAGTTATATTTATTCATTCAGAACAGTACTATGTTTTGTGTAAAGAATTAGTATATTTTTGTCTATCAACAAACAATTTTTTTTTGCTTTGAAAACAGTTGTAGAATTACACTTGGCATGCTAAGTTTTGAGATTATCATCTCTTTCTTTGGCAAGATCAAACAGATGGTTGTGTTGTGCAGTTAAGTAATGCAACAGGTACTAAGTGGTATAACTTTTTTTACTATAGAACATTGCCTTATGACAACATCTCTTGTACTTAATGATTTGAATGTTCACATTTAATCTGTATGAGGATCAACATGATTTTTATTCACAAATATGGTTCAATAGTGTACAGCCTTGCTAAAACAACCTTTAACTCTTTCAACACTGGCTCGGTCAATTTGACCGACCACGTGACCTCTTTGTACTCGATTGAAGTCTTTACAGATTTAATACTTCTAACTTTCAATATAGTGTGCATCTTCACAAAATTTGGCAGTCTTTCAGTTCATAATACAAGTCTTTCACATACAAAAAATCATATTCTTTAGTGAAGTATTTTTAATAAAATACAATAAAGATTTGTCCATTAATATATTGAGTATTTGTTATTCTATGTTAAAATTAAAAATACTTTTCTTCTTGTGTAATCCCTAAAACCTTCTAAATGCATTTCAAACGTTTTTTTTTCAATGAAACTTTCCAGTTTGTTATTTTCTATATCCTATCTCAAAACAGAATTGGTCAATTCGACCAATCCCATAACCACAAAAGAAAAATATGTATAAAAACTCAAATTACCCTTTTTTTTCTTTCTAGAATGATTTCAAATTGGAACATGAAACTACATTTGTTTATCCTAACTACTCTAAGTTCATAACATTATATATCTATTTATAATTACATTTTATTGCCCTTTGAACCGTGTCTAACTACTATCCACACCATTATAAGTTGTAAATCACTTGGGGAACATGTAGTTCACGTTACGCTATCAAATTACATTACCCACGACCTGCTCGCGTGCACGCCTCGTGAACCATTTTAATTATATTATTATTTAACCTAATCTAGTTTTAAATAACTTAAAAAGATCCATATTTTTAGATTTTAGTTACTTTTATAATAATAAATAAAAAATAAATATGACAAACAAGAAATAAAGTACTTACCCAATCTTCTTTTTCTTGCTCTTGGGTTTTTGACAAGAATTAAACCTAATTTTTTATACTATAGATAGTAATGCACTTAATCAAAATTTTTCTGGCTTTCTAACTATGCAACAAGAGACTTTACAAATTCATCTAAGCTAGTCGTTAACTTTCCCACGGAAATGAATCTTGTACTGTGAGTGAAATTGACGATATTCTGTTCAGAATACAGCATTATACAATACGTCATTTGGTAGATGAAAACCTTGACTTTCTATTGGTTATAGGTAATATATAATGAAACATAAGAAAGAACTATCAACGAATTGTGAAAGAGAGCATGTGACAGGTGGGTGTAGAAGGAGGGGTTTGAAGAATATAAAAATTATGGTTTGTTTGAGCAATAACAATTTTGCAGAGTATTTTTCATTTAATTTTGTACTTTTTCGAGAGGTGATGGATAAAATAGGGATGATATGCTAAGAAAAAATGTGTCACATGGATCATACTAGTGGAAATTTGGGATTTTTTTAAGTATTTCCTTGTAGAATTAAGAACTTAAAACTTATATACTATTAAAATACGTATTATTAGCTAAAATAAAATTTTATGCTATTCTAATTGGTATAACAAACAAAAAGTAGTTTAATAAAATTTTGAATGTAAAACACTAAAACCTTGTGTTATGAGCAGTAAAGGGTACCCACGGCAACAGGGTTAACACATTATACAACACACCTTAGACAATTTGTACAACTGTACAACCTTTATATAATAAATTTAGAGCTGCATTAACCATAGGAATTGGAAAAACAATTAATGCAAAATATACAAATCTTGGGAAAATAGAGACTTGTAACATACTTTTGAGTTCAGCGAGGTGGAAGCACTCTTCAAAAGAGATTCCCTGTCAGAGAGATCAACGGGTACAGCCATGTCAGAGAGGACTTCCACAGACTTAATTGCAGCTTTCTGGAATGACTCGGAAATGGTTGTTGGATGGATTCCTGAGTAGATAATGAAAGATAACAACGTTAAGCTAAACAGCCTATCAAAAAATTGTATCAATCCAAAAACTTTCACATTCAAAGTAATTTGGACTAAACATCATTTTTCTTTGAAGCTATTCAAAGCAAACAATTACCAATTAGAAATAAATTCTAAAATAATATGTAACAATGTACCTTTCCAAAACAATGTGTAACACAGTATAACATGTCTACAACAATATGGAACACTAATTTTTTTTAAATAATGTGCAATGTTGTGCAACCTTTCTTTAACTAGGTGTAAACTGCCACAAAGCTGTGTCATCTAAAATTTTCACACCTAAATTAGAGGTATAACAACCAGGCAACAGTAACACTAATTGAAGTTTCTTTTCTTGCCACAAAATTACCTTTAAACAACAGAAAACAATTAGAAATATACTCTAATAATAATAATAAAGAAAGACAAGAAAAAGAGGGGAAGAATAAATGTCCACTAAAGACAAATTATGAGAATGGAAATATTTTCTATTAATGTGTTGAATTTCAAAAACTGCTGGAAAACATTTACAAATTTAATATTTGTACCCATAAATAAAAAACAAGTTACCAAACTAGCACTGAAGATCAAACTGGCAGAAAACAGTGACAAAGTGTGAAGTAAAGATTTTATTAGAATTACATCAGAAATCAGTGAAAATAATATGTAATACAACAAATACAAAAGGTTTATTTTAAAGCATAGTAAAGATCTAAACTTAGAATTACCAATGAGATCCATATTACACCCACTGTTTGTTTTTCTTTAAACATAGTTTTCTACATTATTTAATCACATGGTTCATGGGTCCATGATGACACGGTCTAAACCACACACAAGACAAACAAAAGAATACCATCAATATTGAAATTAATCCTGCTAAAGTCTTCAATTTATTTTACATAGAAAATGAGTCATTTCACTCACTATAATTGGTTAGTTCTTTACACTAACAGGGAAAAACAAAACTTTCCAAAATAATGTCGTGCGGAATCCACCGGTATTTATTATTAGAAAATACAAGTTGGTAACCATTACCTTTAGCTAAAAGCTTTGAAGCAGCATCCAACAGACTACCAGCAATAATAACAACTGTAGTAGTTCCATCACCAGCTTCTACATCTTGAGCTTTGGAAAGTTCTACCAACTGTGTAAAGAGAAGGAAACAAACATGGTGACTTAGTACTACTTTCAGGTAATTCAAAAGCAACTTTCTCTACCAAATGCTTTAAATAAAGACACTTTCCTTTTACTGTGTTACTTCAGCTATTAAACAGTAAAACACTTAAAAATATTTCCAGTTTTGTCCTAATATTTAATTTATTTTCCCTATAAAACACTACCAACTTTTACTTTGTATCATATTAAGCACAACTACACAAGTTAATTAGAATTTACTATTTCAAAAGAAAATTTGTTATATCATGACATTTTATACAAAACCTAGTATAATAAACTAGATTATAAATTATAAATGGGTGAGTTGGTGCATCAAAGTTAATATATTATAATTACCATTTTTGCTGCTGGATGCAAAACTTGCATCTGCTTCAGAATGGTTGCACCATCATTGGTAATGGTTACATCGCCATTTCCTGCCTGAATCTAGAAAAAAACCACAACGTATTTAAACTTACATCTTGTTGCACAATCAAAAAAAAAGTCTACAGTACTATCAAATTACATTCATCTTTTTGTATATTTACTATTTTACAAAACGATAAAAGCCATCGCTAAAAATAAACAAAACTGTTTTCTATTCATCTAACCATAGTCCACATGCAATATACTTTTAAAAACTACGATACCAGGCCTTAAACAACCACGTATGTTGTATTATCCAAAATAAAAGACATTAAAGTGTGAAATTACTTTTTACAAGTAATTTTTCATGTTATGTAATAATTTTTTTGTTTTATTATAAAGCTGAATCTCTTAATTTATATTTTGAAATAAAACAATTAGAAATAATAGGTAACTTTCTATGTTTTTTTTAACTGCCCAGATACTTTTGTCTGCAACTAAGTATTTGTATTTTGTAACTATGGCAAAGCTATCTGCCACCATCCCTAATTTTAAACTACAGGCTAGAGGGAAAGAAGCCCCTTTCCACCCACACTAAAAGATTGACTATTAATCTCATAATGCACTGTGGAGAATATTTTGTGGTACCAAATGGATTTGAATCTGGCTTACCAGCTCCAAAATCCAGAATTATACTACAGCACCAATACATGCATCATTTGTTATGAGAAATGGATTGATATTGTCACTCCATAATATTCTAACAGCATACAGGCTGAGTTATAATGCGACTTTAGAACATTAATTTCCAATTCAGTATTTACTCTCCACTCCCATCAAATATAAAAATGGATATAAAGTGTAGCATAATTACAATAAAATCACATCAGATAATTGTGTATTTTTTTCTTTTTTAATGAACACTAATTGTTTGTAACTAGATGCAGTTTGGTAGGAAGCAGCAGACTAAAAATCAGAAAACCTTTCTTGCCAATTAATAGTCAATGTACAGGACTTTGTTAAGATTAGTAAATAAAACTTAAATATAAAAACTGGATTACAGAAAAATTTTATTAGTAAAGCACACATTAATAAGTGTGGCACTTATAACACCACGAGTATCTACACTAGAAAAATATGCTACATAGACAATATAGCTCAGTTACCAAATTATCACTAGTTTACTTATAAAACTTGACTGCAGGAATGTACAAGTTAAATCCCTATCATACAGAATACTAAGCCTTGTGTAAAAATAGATGATGTATGGTGTTCAAATCCCACATCTTAATGTCTTTCATTGACACCATAATAAAATCTATTAAGATTAAAACAATTAGTCAAGATATGTGATTCATTAAAATTCCTGATGTCAAATACAATTAACCCTTTACACACGGGTCAAAGATCATGTCATCTTGTTTGTTGACTCGCATTCAAAATTATGTTTAACTACTATTTCATAACT